TTATTATTATTATTATTACTATTATTATTATTATTATTATTATTATTATTATTATTACTAGTACTTTTATATCCAAGCTGTTATTTTTATGTTATAGTGTCAAATGTATGGAGATCTTAACTGTTATTACACACATCTTCTCTTAATTACAGACATACAAAAGCCATTCTATCCCCCTCTCCCTCACCCATCTGTCACACACATACACACACACACACACGCGCACACACACACACACACACACACATGCACACACATACACACACACAATACACTAGAATGCTACTCCACCCTCTTTGTTGTAGTGATAAGCCGTTAAACCGTGGTACACACAGACGACTTGAGCTCGATTCGCGCGTGTGGAGAATTTTTGTTGAGTATCTCAGTTTTTTATGCCAAGACATAGTATCCATATGCCCTCTCACCACGGGTTGGCCTTCGCAGGCAGGGTCGATTCCCTACTCCTCAGCTATCTACATGGTGCTAATGAGAATGTAAAATCCCTAAAGATAGATTGATAGGGACATAAAAACACCTTTAAAAAACAACAAATACAATTTTTTTTTTAACTTTCCTAATGCAGCTGATTCATTTTGGGGTGATATAGCAGTGTCCCTGATGATATTTACTTCTACAACCAACATAATATCCCCAGGGTCCCACATCTTCCCTGGAAGACGACCTGAGTTTCATGTCTGCCACCCTCGCCTGCACTCCCACCGGTGGAACCAAAGTGGTAAGCAGTTCAAATCCCTAGACTGGGACACCCTCGGCATACTCAGCACAAAGCTTCCTCAGATCCCAATGATCTTATAAGTAATTTTATAATTTTGAGGGCGACCTAATTTTCGTTCATTAAAGATCGTGGGATTTGGGAGGGAGAGGGGAAGGCTACCATTTCGGCTTAGTTTGATCAAACGCTACCAAGCTAAACATGTTTTGGTTTTCTACGTTAAAAGGGGTACATAAATTGATAACAACCATGGCCAACAGCCACTAAAGAGCTACGCGTCACATGGCAAAGAAAATGTTAGAAAGAGGAAACAATGGAGAGGAGAGAAAATGATAAGAGAGGAGGATCGAATTCGTGAAACTTGTTAAAACGTAGAGGAAAGGAGAGAGTGACAGAAGTGGAGATAGAAAGAGAACGAGAGAGAGAAGAAGAAGAAGAAGAAGAAGAAGAAGAAGAAGAAGAAGAAGAAGAAGAAG